AAACCACAGAGACACACTGTGGATTCCACTAATGTGATTTAGTTAACTCTCAAGGCAGTATATGTACCAGCAGGACTCTGTAAAGAGGCCGTGTGTGTGTGTGTGTGTGTGTGTGTGTGTGTGTGTGTGTGTAGAGAGACAGAGAGACAAAGATAGAGAAACAGAAAGACAGAGAGGAACAGAGAGAAATAGACAGAAGGACAAAGAGAACCAGCAAGTCAGAGAACTGAAACTGATACACGGAAGTGGTAAGAACTGCCTCTGTGTTGTCAGTGGGGTTACTGCCACTCTCTTAGGCTGAATGAGGCTTCAACAATGCTCACAGTATGGTCACCTCAACTGCCTTTTTATGTTGCTTTATAAAATACAGCATTAGGGCTGGCGTCAAGCTTGCTGTCAAACTTGCATGTTTGAGTACCCGCATGCACCACGCTTGCATTTTTGCAGTGCTGAGAATGCTTCATGCATTCTAGGCAAGTGCTCTACCACTGAGTTATAGCTCAAGCCCAGAGATATTCTGGGAATAATTCTCTTTGAGAGATAGCATTCTAGATGGCTTTAGCTCCATTTTACCTGGATGTTTAAAATCATTTCCTATAACTAATAGGCATAACTACTCACATAAAAAGAAAAATTAAAATTATTTTAACTGAATAAATAAGTAGGCCATGCAACAAACATTTGTTTCTTGAAACATCATTTCTACCATAAACCACCATCAGTTAGTTAGAACAGATATAAGAGCTCTTCCATTAATAGCTAGAGTAAGCTTGCAAATTATAGGCACCCACTCAAGTCTAAGTATACACGGATGCCTTCTTTTGATTGGATGTGATGTCAGTGTCTTATCATTATTGAACCATGAAGCTGTTACTACTCAAAAAAAACCAGCGTGCTTCTGCTAAAAATTCTGATAGTCAACTATTTTCTCTATTATTGCCATTGTTTGGATGTTGAATAACACATCAAATGTAGACCCTTAGAATGTTATTCCATGTTTGGTAGATAGTAAATATAAAAACATTAGTTGAAGGCAACCTGTTATCCATTAAATTCTCTTCATTATCATCACTTTGTTCTCCAAGATAACTCCGTTGAGTCAAAATTTATTATCATTTTCAGAATAAAAATATAGATGAGACAGTTGTTTGATTTCTTGCATTAAACAGTTTTAGTCAGTAGGAAAGCCAAGAGTAGACTCAGGTTGATTGAGTTTAGATCCCATTTTCATCTTCGTTACTATTTGGCCTCTACAATAAAGAACTGACCACATTTGCAATGTTTCATGGAAACCATGCAGCGGCACGACTATGGGGATCATTTAGTCTTTTGTATTTCAGTTTGAATTATTGGTTGCAAACAACATGCTTTAATAAGGAATAATTGTCAAGTCACACTGTGGGGGTCTGCAGGTGGGTCCTCACCACACTCTACAGAGGTACAAGTTTGAATTCTGTGTAACATTGGAGCCCTATTTTCTGTGACCCTTACCACAGCTATTTTAAAGCAATCCATGTAATTAGGACAGTGAAATAATAGACAAATGCAATGGGGGAGCAAACGAGGGATTCCAGGAGTAGCCTTACCCAAGTAAAGTAAACTGATCTTTGACTAAGAGATGAAGAGATTCACTGGGGAAGTGGGAATAATATCTTCAATAAATTTTTCTGAAAATGTATATATCCACATGAAAAGGGCAAAAACATACACAAGCATGGCAGCTTTTATAGAAAATAGATCATAGAGCTAATATAAAGTGAAAGCTGTTGAGCCCCTAGGAGGAAACAGAAAGCAATCTAGGTGATTAGAATTTGAAGATGACCTTTTCTGTTGATACCAAATGTACCACCCATGAAATAAGAATAGGAAAGACATTGGGAAAGTAAAGTTGGTACTATTGTGGTGCATTTCTATAAAAATATTGATTCAAACCCAAGGAAAACATTACAAACAAAAGGAGATTCAGTAGCAAAATCAAGAGACCCCCCCCCCCAATCCAAATGATCTAGAGTAAAAATGAGTAAAGGACTTGAACAGATACTTCTTCAAAGAAGACATAAAGATGGCCAACAGATACATAAAAAGATGTTCAGTGTTATTATGCATCCAAGATGTTAAGGGAAAACTACAAACTTCTCACCACGTTGGATGTGTATTATCAAATCAAAAGGCAGCAAGTTTGAAAATGTACAGTGTACAAGCACTATGGAAAACAGAGTGGAGTATCCTTAAAACCAAAACAACAACAACAACACCCCCAAAAGAACACCATATGATCAGGTAAATTAATTTGGAACACATATTCCAAAGAATCAATCAGTCAGGGATTTGAGGCGGTTTTATACTCCCATGTTATATAACACTTCTCATAGGCTTGAAGATATGGGAGCTACTTAAAAGTTTACCAGCATGTGGACAATTGTTGAGAATGCTGTATGCAGCAATAATGATTCAGCCTTAGAAAGAAGAAAACCCTGTAACATGGGACAGTCTGCTGGGAACTCTAGGAAATGATGCCGGTCACAAAGGATAAACATTACATGATTCCACCTGTATGCAGTATCTAAGGTAGACTTCTAGATGGACCACTGGGATTGCTCAGTGGGTAAAGAGGCTTGCTACCTGGTGATGCAGCTCTGACGACCTGAGTGGATCCCCGATGTCCATGTAAAGATGCAGTGAGAGAATTGACTTCACGATGCTGTCCTCTGACCTCTATGTGCTCCACAGCTTACTCCCCCACCCCCACCTCAGCAGTCTGAAAAATAAAACAGTCTCATAGAAACAGAAAGTAGAATGGTTACCAAGGGCTACTGGGGGTGGGGTAGAGAGTATACAAGATGAATAAATTATAGATACTTTCTGAAAAATATAAGGCCTATATTTAATAATACTGTTTGTGTACTATATTGAGAGGGTAGAGCTCAAAAGAAGTTATCTCTCCACACTTAAACAAGACACATTATATATAATATATCTGAAGTATATAATATATACTGCATGGTACATAAAAAATATGTATATATCTGATATAAAGTATATCATATATAAGTCTATATGATATGTAACATATGGAAGAACAGCATGGATAAGAACTGAGGACACTACACTATGTGAAATAAGTTATTGCAGATAGTAGTATTATATATAATATTTATATATAAATATATATGGGACACAGAGAGAGAGACAGAGACAAAGACAGAGAGAGAGAGACAGAGAGATGCTAAGCAGTAAAGAAAATTATAAAACTCTAACAGGTCTTGTTGGGAAGTAGGTATATCTTTACAATTATGGCTCATTCTGAGAGATGTTAAATACCATATGATAAATTATGAATTAAGCACAGTTCCTAGAAGGAAGATGATGACCAATATTTGAATATTTAAAACATTACTCACATAATATTGTTTACAGATGCTAGACAGTAGATGTGCTGGATATCCCAGGCTGCACTGTGTATTGGCCTTTGTCTTACTCTGAGGTCTGTCCTGGCCAAGTGCATTGGAGTATGGGGATGCCTAGGTAAAAGGAAACCGACGAGCTTTTCTTTCGTTTTAAATTTAATTCAGCTTAATGTGTTTTGTAGTACTTAAGATCAAATCTAAGTCTTGGTGCATGCTGAATGAGCACTCCCCTAGAGAGCCTCACCGTACCAAGGAGTCTGGAGAGGCTGGGTAAACAGTTCCTCTATGCCCATTGATCTTTTACTTCGCCCTTTCAAGAACAGGTTCTGTCTTCTGTGGTGGAGAGAACAGAGAATAAAGGCATCAATCTTCTTGTCTCCTACAGAGATCATACATTCGGTGGTGGCGGTTTGTTTGCTGATGGATGTAACAGGATAGACCTTTGTTTCAGGACATTGCCCGTAACTCTGTTCTGTTTGCCCATTTACTAAGAATAGTAGACTATCTGGATAACTTCAAGGTCTGTTGTAGCTTGTATATTCTTTCCCCTTCTCCCTTTATAGCCTTCTGTGTCTGGAAAATGTATGTGTAAATTATCAGCAAGGTAGGGCTGCATAATATTTTGAACAGTGCTTCTGCCTCCGTTTGTAGGAGAAAAGGAAAAGACAAGAAGATCAGTATGCTTGCATTTATTCGGTCAATAAATATTTACTACACTTCTATACATAAAGGTGTGAGAATGAACAATGTCTCGCTTCTCATAGACTTCAAATTTGTGTAGAGAGAGAACAGATATATGCCCAGTATAGGATAAAAACTGTCAGTGTTGGTGGTAATGTTTGTGAATGACCGCAAAGTGCATAAGTAACCTTAGCAACGATACAGGGTCTACTGTGCCGTTACAGGAGGCACGGGGAGGGTGGACTGCTGGCTGGATTTTCTTGAGGTCCCATTCAGATTCATTCCAAAGCCATAGACCCTTTAAGTTAATGCACGCACTCTCAAAATCTCGGGCTCTATGGAACAGGTTATTGGCCTGGGGCAACTAAGAAAATATTTGCCATCAGCATTTAATATTGTTATTATGTTCTACTGGAAAAATATGAAATTCCTATGAAGACACAGATGGAAGTCATTCAATTAATCTGAAAATTGAGAAATTCGTGATTTTTCATGACCTCGTTGTTCTATTGTAGAAAAGTCTTGTCTTTGTGACTGAACCTCCCACTGGGAAGATGGAACTGTCCCTCAGGTTGATGTCAGAAGTGTCCAGGGAGTGACATGCATAAGTTAGTCCTCCTGGTGTTTCAGATACGGGAAGGAAGTCATGTGTGAGGAGTAAGAAAACCATGGAGTAGCTGATATCAAATCATGAATCATTACTTTCAACAAAAGAAAATTATACTCTGCCATGAAAATCTCGTGTTGCTCCCTTGTCACTGATGACCTGGTTTCAGAGTCTAATGGCCTCCGTGTCTGTCTTTTGGTTCTAATCACTGCTATTTATTGACCCCTCCCTAGAAATGAGATATATTGAATTTTCTGTTCCTAACTGTGATGACTATGAGGTAGGATGATTTTATTCTCTTCCAGGTACCACTTTTGGTCGCTGAGCCTGAAGAAGGATGCAGACGTCTGGTTTCACAGCTCATGAGTCCTGAAACAGTATGGTTTCTCAAGCAAAGAACGATACTGAGCACACTGTAGTATTAACCTATAATGCTGGCTTTGGGTCTTGACAGGTATATTTTCCTTTCACAGAAAAGCTGAGTTTGTTTGATACCCAGATTAGGCTATCTAGAAATGCCTGTAATTATGGACCACAGTAGATTTCATGGCTATGGAATTTTATATGAAAAAAAGGAAAGAAAAAAAAGAAAGAAAAATTCTAGAGGCTGGATTGGTGGTTCAGTTGTTAAGAATGCCTGCTGCTTTTTCAGAGGTTCAGAATCTCTTCCAGAAATTCCTAGCAACCACGTCTGGTGGCTACAAACTGTAACACCAGCTCCAGGGAGAACTTATACTTTGGGCCTCCATGGGCTCCTTACTCAGGTATACATATCAGACATACCATTAAAAATAACTAAGACAGAAATAAAAAAGAAACCCTACTTGTCTGTTTAATAGCATTAATTTCTTGGCACATGGTTGGCTTGACGTGGTAGAGACCAGCTGCCTTTCTTCCCTGGAGACTGCGTTACAGTCTAGACTCTCTATTGACCTGTGAACAATGGAGAGTGTAGCCAACCTTGCTGTAAGCAGTTGTAAGGTGGTGGTGGACATGCAGCATTTCCTGTTCTCCTGAGCTTGCTAGTTCCTGGTGCTGAGTAATTCATGCCTATACAGGGCAGAACAGCGTTTTAATAACTTCAGAACCATGTGGCACTCCGGAAACTCGAGTTTGTTTTTGGTGACGGTGTATGCGAGTACTTGGCTCGCACTGAATTTCCCGTTCACCCTCCCAGCCTAACCACACACTTTCAGAGAACGCTGTTTTAAAATGCCTGTGTATTTTCTTAGTCTTTCCTTCTCTCTACGTATTTCACAGAGTTGAAATCTTGTTAAACATAACTGGATATAAAAATAAATACAAGTAAATGGAAGTTAGATTTTTTTTGTTAAAGGCCTAGAGGTCAAAAATAGTTTAGGCTTCAAAAACCATGCAATTAAGCAATACTGCCATTGTAGTGTGTATGCTACCAGAGCAGGTATGTAGGCAAATGTGCACTGTTGGATTCTTTTTTATTGTGAAATGTATTTTTGAACTATATTTTCTCATTTTACACACCTCTCCCAGTTCCCACTTCTTCCCCTCCTCCCAGTCTCCCCATCTTCCCTCCATCCTAGCCCCCCATTCACTCCTCAGAGAGGGTAAGCCTTTCCAAGGGGAGTCAACAAAGTCTGACATATCTCTTTGAAGCAGGACCAAGGCCCTCCCCCCTATATCTAGGCTGAGCAAGGTATTCCTCCAAAAAGTTCAAGCACTAGGGATAAATCCTGGTCCCACTGTCAGTGGCCCCACAGACTGCCCCAGCCATACAACTGTCCCCCACATTCCGAGGGCCTAGTTTGGTCCTATGCAGGTGCCCCTGCTATCAGTCCAGAGTCAGCAAGCTCTCACTAGCTCAGGTCAGCTGTTTCTGTGAATATCTCCATATGGTCACAACCCCCTGCTCACATTATCGCTCCTCCCTCTCTTAGACTGGTCTCCAGAAGCTCGGTCCGGTGTTTAGCTGTGGATCTCTGCATCTGCTTCCATCAGCTGTGGGATGAAGGTTCTATGATGACAATTAAGATAATCTGATTACAGAACAAGGCCAGTTCAGGCACCCTCTCCACTACTGCTTAGTGTCTTAGCTGGGGTCATTCTTGTAGATTCCTGAGAATTTCCTTAGTGCCAGGTTTCTTGCTAGCTCCATAATGGCTCCCTCAGTCAAGATATCTCTTTCCTTGCTCTCCCTCTCTGTTCTTCACCCATCTTAACCATCTTGTTCCCTCATGTTCTCCTCTTCCCTCCCTTTCCACTCCCCTTCTCTCCACCCCTTTCACACTCCCAATTTTTTCAGGAGATCCTGTCTAATTTCTCTTCCCGGGGTAATTCATGTATGTTTCTCTTAGGGTTCTCCCTGTTACATAGTTTCTCTGGGGTTGTGGACTATAGGCTGGTTATCCGTTGCTATAGGCTGGTTATCCATTGCTATACATCTGATATCCACTTATGAGCGAGCACATGCTATGTTTGTCTTTCATGGTCTGGGTTACCTCACTTAGGATGTTTTTTTCTAGTTCCATCCATTTATATGCAAATTTCAATATGACTTTTTTCACAGCTGAGTAGTACTCTATTGTATACATGTACCACCTTTTCTTTATCCATGCTTTGGTTGAGGGGCACCTAGGTTGTTTCCAGGTTCTGGCTATTACAAATAATGCTGCTATGAACACAGATGAGCAAATGCTCTTGTGGTATGAGTGAGCATCCTTTAGGTATATGCCAAAGTGAGGCATTGCTGGGTCTTGAGGTAGATTGATTTCCAATTTTCTGATACAAAAAGCTTCCATTGTATACCATGAGGTGGACAAATTCAGTTTCTGATACAAAGATGGGAGTACTGCATCCTGCATCACTAGAAGCCTCAAAGACAGAATGATTCCTTAAAGACCATTTGTGGCAAAACTTCTCCTGGTTGCCATGGCCTAGCCTTCCTTGTTTCCAGGTTCAGTGGGTTTTCTTTGTGATGAGTCAGATGCTTAACAAGGGACCCTGTGTAGAAAAGCTTTGGGTAAACAAAGAGTGTCCTGTGCTTCAAGGATTTGAGAACACTCTTTCTTCCAAACATTGGAGCTATGGGAATTTTTCTCTTTTATAGAAATTCCTGGTCTAGATCTCAGTCAGGAAAACGTGAAAAAAAATGTATCTATGTTCTTAAGCCTGAGGATTTCAGTTAGAACAGACATTGTAGAAGTTTGTTGATTGTGTATTAAGTTCCTGTTGCAAACAAGGTATATACCTAGGGCCTTTGCTTTTCTTGTATTTCTAACATGCTGTTGCTTGAAATTTAACAGAAGCATAGTTGTACTAAAAACATTTTAATCAAGAAAAAAAGAGAAACTAGTGAATAGTAATGGAAACAGAGTTAATCAGGAATTCATAAAAGAATATTAACCTTACTGTTGGAACAGTGAAGACTGATCATCAATGAGGAATTATCCATATTTGTTTGCAGTGGCTAAATTGATTTATTGAAATCCAGTATTTGTAAGGATTGGAGAAACATCCTTTCATATCTTAATAGTAGGAGTGTAAATTAAATATTATTATACCTAACTCTAAAGTCATAGTTTCATATGTTAATGTCAATATTTATACACTGACTTTCTTTTAAAAGAGATAATGATAAAATACAATAAGGTAAAACAAAAACACCAGGGTTGAACAAGACAAACAAACAGAAGGAAAAGGGTCAAGAGAAATCAGAAGAAGTAGAGAGCCACCAGTTCACACTCAGGAGTCCCATAAAAACACTGAACTGGAAGCCCTAATATATGTGCAGAAGACGTGGTCCAGACCTGTGGAGGCTCCGAGCTTGCTGCTTCATTCTCTGTGAGTTCATATGAGCTTTGATCACATTGATTTAGAGGGCCTTGTGTTCTTGGTGTCATCCATCCTCTCTGACACTCTTTCTGCTTCTGCTTCTATGGGGTTCTCTGAGCCCTGCGTGGAGGGCTTTTATATCACCAGTTTGTCTCTGTAGGATCAGTAGACAAGTCTGATCCTTGACAGGTATCTTTCAAACAATGTTATTTTTACACATTTAACCTTTACACAACATTTAAAGAAAGCAGCCTGTAGCACTGGGCTGAGCTCCCAAAGTCCAGTTGAAGAGTGGAAGGAATGAGAATATTAGCAAAGAGGGATGGGGACACACACTGAAATAGTTTACCTGAGCTAATGGGAGATCACCAACTCCAGTCAGACAGGAAAGGAACCAGCATAGGACCAAACTAGTCCCTCAGAATGTGGGTAACAATTGTATGGCTTGGGCAGACTGAGGGGCCACTGGCTGTGGCACCAGGATTTATCCCTACTGCTTATACTGGCTTTTTGGATGGATACATTGCTCAGGCTAGATATAGTAGGGAGTGCCTTGGACCTTCCCCAGAGCAATGTGCCTTACTCTCTCTGAGGAGTGGATGGGGGTGGGGTGGAGGTGGGGTGAAGATGGAGGGGATGGCATAAGGGGAGGGAGTGGGAACTGGGATTGGTATGTAAAAGGAAAAAAAAGATAGTTTGTTTTCTTTTTAAAAAAATAAGAAAGGAAGGAAGGGGAGAGAGACAGAGAGAGAGAGAGACAGACAGAGAGAGAAAGAGAGAGAGAGAGAGAGAGAGAGAGAGAGAGAAAGAAAGCAGCCTATCTCAGATTAAAGGGAGCCTTAAGCATGCTTCCTGGGGGAAAATTAAAGAGATCGTTTAGATAAGAGCAGAAAGTTTTTAAAAAGTATATTCTTTTTGCTATGTGATTGTGGGTTAAATAAAGGAACAATGGGAAGACCCATTAAGAGGTGATGCACTATGACAGAGATTATCTGACAGGCCAGTGTGACTTAGTATCTTGACACTAGAGTCGGCAGACCTGGGTTTGAATTGTCTCTTTACCTTCTTGAGCTTCGGGAGAACATGTGGGTGACTCAGCCTCTTAACATCTACAAGCTATAGCTTCTCGACTATAAAATGTAGATAAGGATTCAACTTAATCCATCATAATGCTTGAAAAATTAAGCAGGTTAATACACTTTAGTGTTAGTCCAAAAGTCCACACACTGTATGATAAACCTAGAGCCATGTAATGCTGTAGAGAGGGTGTATGATGATATATACATGGGCATTGTAGCCCCTACACTACGGGACAGTATGCAAGCCAGGAACTAAGCTAGAGACTTAAAAACACAGTCATACACAGACAGACAGAGACACGGACACGGGTCATCCTTGATACAAGAATGCCTAGTTTATTGTGCTCCAGGGAAGCTTATATAGGGATCCTTAATGGATAGCCACACCCCAGCTCTCAGGATATTTCAGCTGCAGGTCTCCTCAGATCCACTCCCCTATCATCAAGGTCTCATGCTCAGAGCAACAGCAGGCACAAGTGTTTTGCTCAGTTCACTCAAGCAGGCAAAGGGTCTGAGGCAGGCAAAGAAAGTCAAGGGCCAGGGGTCTGCAGCTCCCAACAGGACATAT